TTGTTCAAGGACTCTATGCGCAAAAGCTACAAGGCCAAGGGCAAGGACATCGTGGAGCGAAACCTGAAGGCAGTCGACCAGGCGTTCGAGAATCTGAACCGGATCCACTTCCCGAAGGAGGAATGGCTCGCTGCCGTGGACGACACGCCCGTGGACCCGGGCCGCCCGGCCTTCTGCACGGAGGTGATGGACAGGATGAGCGCCCTGGATGCTGACAGCCTGCCCGTGTCCGCTTTCGACCCGCGCGGCCACTTCCCCACCGCCACCACCATGTACGAGAAGCGCAGCTTCGCCCTCTCGGTGCCCGTTACGGACATGGACAAGTGCACGCAGTGCAACAAGTGCGCGGCCATCTGCCCGCACGCCGCGATCCGGCCGTTCCTCATCTCGCAGGTGGAGGCCGACAAGGCCCCTCAGACCTTCGAGATGGTGAAGGCAAAAGGCGGCATTGAGACTGCCGGGCTCATGTACCGCATCCAGGCGGCCCCGGGCTTCTTTGTTACTGTTGTGGTTTATTGTTCTTTTGTGTTGTTGCCTGCTGTTTGTTGTTTCATTGGTGTTGCAGGTCTATCTTTATATAACCATGCAAAACATGAGACATGTGTTGTTTTACATCGCGTGGGAGGTTTTTTCCTTGTGTGCGTGGAATGTTGTTGTAGTGGCTGTATGTTTGGTGGTTGCTTGTTTTTGTGTTGGAGCACAAGCCCAGGTGGCCCCAGACGACTGCACTGGCTGCCAGGCTTGCAGCAACACCTGCGGCGACGGGGCGCTGACCATGACCCCGCTGCCGGAGGTGGTGAACATGGAGCAGTCGAACTGGGACTTTGGTATCAAGCTGCCCGACAGGGGCAGCTACGTCGAGAAGAGCACGGTGACCCACCGGCAGAAAGTAAGTCCATACCCGCCGCCTCGATCATGTCGCAGACGCCTGCGGCGAACCACCGCCGCCCCTTGCCTCTTGGCAACGCCCATGCGGCCAAACGTTGGGCCACAGTCTGTCAAAGCTATTGGACTATGTGTTGCCCCTCGACTTCGTGTTGAACCTCTTGGGGGAACACCAAGGAGAGAAAGAGAAACGGGGTATGCGAGGGGGGAGAAGGATGCGGAGGAGGAGGAGGAAAAGGAGGAACAGGAGGAGGAGGAGGAGGAGGAGGAGGAGGAGGAGGAGGAGGAAGAGCATCCGTTGTCATTTCGGGTCAAGTCCGTAGCGGGAGGCTAAGAGGAATTGAGTTTTGGCACGGGGATTTCCCGACTTCCACAGTGCACTGGCATCTGCCCGACAGGTATTGTTCCTCAATTCCGTTCCGTGTAGAGGAAACTCGAATTTCCAGGTCTACAGCTCTTCGTCGAGCTCTTCGTCGGTGGTGCCAGACCCGTTTTTCTTTTATGCGCCCTGGGTTCGTTCCGAGGATGCAGACAGTGAAGGAGGCTGGCAGACATACAGCGGTTTGCGTAAAGGTAAAAGCTTCAAGCAACCGCAGGGGTTCGTGTGTTCCGCCACTGGGTGCAAGAAACATGGTCCAGATGATGGTTGGTGCAAACATTGCCTCGCCTCTTCTTCGTCTTCAGTTGGCAGTATTCCCGCGGCTCGACGCTTCTGGGCTGCTCTCTCTGCGCCTCTTGGCTCCTTTGGCAAGGGCGGCATGGGCAAATGTGGGCTGTCAGGCGGGGGCTCCAGGAAGGGCGTCTATGACAAGGGTAAGGGTGCATGGAGGCAGGTTCGGTTCAGCCGCTGGACGACAGCTTCCCGCCCTTCCACCCGCCTCTGCAGGCGGCGGCTCCGACGGCACGATGTCTCCGATGCCGCCTGGGCCTGTGCCCAACGTCACGATCGGGGAGTCGAACGAGTTGTCCAGGTTGTCCGCGACATAAGGTGACACAGCTGGTGTTGCATGGTGTTCGGGAGTTGTTCAGTCCCTGGCGTAGGTAGAAGCTAATACAGCGAAGCAGACTCCCTCTCTTTACCAGGCGGCGCAGCAGCATAATGGTCAAGTTCGAAGGTTGGGGAAGCACTTGGAGACTGAGCTGGCCTGGCTTCTCAAGTTGCAGTCCGAGGCTGGAGCAGGCCGCCAACCTCAAGCTGCTTCGCGAGTCCTTGGGGAAGTTTGATAGTGAGCACGAAGAGGCGATTCAGAAGTTGGCGGAATAATCTATGCGCGCTGCATCGTCCAGTCCACTCCGTCTCCAATGGGCAATCTGGAAGACCTCGCCGCGGGCTCCGCCGACATCGCGGATCTCATCAGCTGTGGCGTCCTGGCAGACTCCGAGGAGGATGAGGAGCTCAAGCTGTCGCCGGGGGATCGGGGGGAGATGTAGAAGAGGTCAAACGCGATGTCTCAGGGCATCACTGACGTGGCGAAACAGTGGTTCAAGATTCGATCGGCCGGGCCGAGGCAGCTCAGGCAGCTCGCGCAGCGCATCGCGCACGTCCGGCAGGCAAGAAGAAGCGGAGCAACATCGACGGGCAAGCCGCGGGGGGCTGTGGAGGCGCGGCCAAGCCGTCCGCTGACGATGCGTCGTCGGGTGTGTCGGCAGCGGCTGCACCTCCCGCGGCAGCTCCAGCGCCGCCGACGCTGTGCGCGCTGGCGCTGCGCATCAGCAGCCGTCAGGCCCCCCCCCCTCCCAGCTGTCTCATGAGCGGGGGCCTGGCGTTGCAGGCAGTGGGGGTCCTCGCCGCCTGGGCCTGCTCAAGGTCTGCAATTTGTTTGCGCCTGGGGCCGCGTAAGCTCCAAGTCCAGGTCGTCGGGTTCTCGCCTTCTCTGTGCGGTTTGCGCGCGAGTTCAGTGCCGCCCGCCCCCGCGACCCAGTCCTGGTTGGCCCCTCTGTCTCTCAGTGAGGTTTTGAATTCCCTTGAGTCCTCGGTGGAGCCTCCTAGTCATGGGCCCCGTCCTACCTCGATTGGGCCCCCTGGGTTTCAGCCCGAAGCGGTCGCCATCAATGGGGACTCTTGGGGCGACGTGCTGAGGTTCCCCAAGTCTACTCCTGCTCGCGTTGTTCTTGCGCAGAAGCGCCGTCTCCGAGGGTGTGGGGAACTGGCCCAGGAATCGCAGATATGCCATGCCCTGGGCTATGCGACGCTCTGGGCCCCTGGGCTTCGCGGCGAAGGGGGCGGCGCAATCTGGCGAGCTGGTTGCTGTTCGTGACGGGCTGGACTGCTTCGAGGCCTCGTGGGCTCTCCTTGCGGATGGGCGTGCCGTCGCAGCTAACATGATTCACGTGCCGGGCTGCTCTCCATTCGCCGTTGCGTCGCTCTACCTGCGCCGCGCTCAAGGACTGTGGGAAGCTCGCGTGGAGGTTCTCGGGGCTGTTGGTGGCTCGATGGGGGCCCAGAGTTGCGATGCCATTTTTCTGGGGCCTTCAACCTTTTTCCTGGCGCCCTGATGGCTGGCCAATTTCGCTGAGCTCCATGGTCGCGTGATCGTTTCGGCTGAGGGTCGCGCCCGCTTTCCGCCTGGTGGGGCGACCCCTGGCGCGTCTCATTGTTTCGTGACGCCGGGAGATCTCGGCCGTCGCTTGGCGGAGGCTCGCGCGGTCGCAGAGTCGGACCTTTCGCCCCGCGCGCCCTTTCTGGCCAGATGTCGCAGGCCACCGCCTTCTCTGAAGGCCGCCGCCTTCCGCCGCCGCCCGAGTCGCCCGCGACGGCCCCTGTGTTGTCTCAGCCATGTCCTGGGGGCTGGTCTGAAGCGATGGGGCTGGCTGAGACGGCTTGTCGCGCGGTTCAAGACGGGGGCGCTGTGGCGGCTAGGGTTTTTCTCACTCCAGGGTGCCGACTCTGGGCGAATGGCGCGGAGGCTGATCTTGGGGGCGTCTTGGGAGTCTGCCCCCCTGCCTCTGTGGCGAGGGGGAAGCGCCCCGAGCTGACCTGGAAATCCGCGCCGAGGGCCCGCGCCTCAGGTCTAGCATGCGTTGCCCAGTTGAGGGCGCGCGTGAGCTATCGTCCGCGCGATAGAGCGGCGCCCCCGCCTGCTGGCGCTGCGGTCTCGCGCGATCTCGCTCAAGTGAGCAGAAGAAGGTGCTGTGCGTACTTTCAGGCTCGTGCTGGCTTGGCTGCCCGCTGTGCCTCTGTCTCGCCGCCGCCCCGCGCTGGGCCCAGTCTCGAGTCTTGTCGGTCGGGGCCGCTCGCGACGTCGCTGGGCGACCCCAGGCTCCATGATTTGCCCCTGGTCGGAAATCGCTGAACTGCCCGAGGCGGTGGACGGCGCGCGCTTGAATGCAGGGGCGGCCGTTCCGGCGAAGTCGAAGGCTTCGTGGCAAGATTGGGCGAGGGAAGGGATTGGCGCGGGTAGCAGGAATGCTCAGGCCGCAATTGGAGACCCTGGGTCCTGGCCCCGCGTGACCACCCACTCGGCCAGAGGCGTCGGCGCGGCTGGCCCGATGGCCCCCCCGAGGGCCGACGCCGGTGAGTTTGTCCATCTGGGGGGGGGCAAGGGGGGCATGATGGGCTGGTTGCCGCTGCCCGTGCCCTCGTCGAAGTTGCGTGCTTGGTCGAAGAAGTATCGGTGCTCCAGCGCCGTCAGCGTGGGCGGCTTTCATTGCGGGCATTTCCCCCCTCGTGCGACGAGGCCGCCTCGCTCTGTGGTTCTGCGTCGTGGAAGTCGCGGGGCCCCTGCCGTTCCAGATCTCTTGGGTTTTGATAGCCCTTCTGGCCGAGCTCGCTCGGGGCCTCGGCCGCCCCGCTGGTGTTTTCTCGGGCGGGGCCCGTCTCTGGGGTCGGGCCTGACAGGTGCGCCCCCAGCGCTGATGGGCCGCCGGAACGGGGGGGGTCTCAAGGGCCCGACGGCTTGCCTCCGACGCGGCGTGGGGGCAGGCCTTCAGGGCCGAGGCTGGGTCCAGTCGCGGCGAAGTGTTGGTTTCTATTGCTTTCGGATCTCCGGATGTACTGCGAGCGCATGGACCTTGGGTATCTTTATGGCAAGTGCCGTCAGCATGGCTTCCTTCTTGCCATCGCCAGGCTGTCTGTTCGGGCCTATTCTGTGGCCTGGGTCCCAACTTTACCCTCTGGGGCCTGATTGCCGGGTGCTCTTTTGCCGCCAGCTTTATGTGTGTCTTTGGAATCGACTGTGTCGATTCCGTTCCTCGGGCGCCAGGTTTGGATCTCGACGCGCATATCGACGACCTGGGGTTTAGCTGCGCATGGGCGGCTCAGGCGGTCGTGCCATCCCTAGTCGCAGGAGCTCGAGCTCTTCATGTGGATAAGGTCGGGATGGTGGCCCGTGATTGCAGCGTTGCCTCTGGGCCCATTCTCGGGCCTCTAGCGGGCTCCGAGACGGGGATTCGGACAATCAGTTGCCTCGGATTTGGTTTTACAGCTGGGCGGGCGATCCGAGCTCCAGACCGGGAGGTGGCGGCCAATCTCATGTCGGGGATTGCCGCGGGGTTGCGCAAGATCAGGAGACTCCTCAGGCTGGGTGAGACCCTTGGCTGGGATACTTTTATGGGCTTCGTTGCTGGTCCGACATTTGGGGCTGTCCCGCAGGGAGTTTCTCGAGCTGCGCAGCGCCTCCATGTCTCGCGTGGAACCACGCTCGCAAGGCCGCTCTCTGTCCGTGTTGTGCCTGTTGGAGAATGACCCGCGTTGGAGTGCGAATGTCGCTCTAATTCTGAGGCACTCGAAAGAAATCTTCTGGCTGTCACGTCGGTCCGTCTCATGAGAAGGCTGAAGTCTGGCATTCGCCCTGATACGGATCAGGTCCATGTGGGTCTCGACGAATTTGTTTTTTGCTGTGAGGTTATGCTGGTGGCGAAAGTGGCAGAGCGTCGTGGCGCCCCTCGGGGGGCCGAAAAAAGGACGCGGCGCCACCCAGCAGGACCCTCGGCCCAGCTTGAGCCTCAAGCTTGAGAGCCGCTGGCAGTGGCGCTGCTGCAAAAAATTGTCTGGCGAAGGACCCAACCATATGCAGTTGTGATTCGCGCAGTTGTGGGTATCGTCTTCGGTGGAGCTCCCTATGGGGTCACGAAGCGTGAGAGGGGTGTGCCGACATGGGTGGCGGGGACGCATGCGAGCACCGCCATTGAGGCTTCCGGTGAGGCTGGGGCCACGGAACGCGCGAGGGGTGAGCTGGAATGGGTGGCGGGGCCGCATGCGAACACCGCCACTGGGGCCTTCGGTGCTCCCTATGGGGCCACGAAGCGTGTGAGGGGACTGTCCTAATCGGTGGCGGGGACGCATGCGAACACCGCCATTGGGGCCTTCGGTGGAGTTTCCTATGGGGCCACGGAACGTGCGCGGGGTGTGCCGGAATGGGTGGCGGGGACGCATGCGAACTCTGCCACTAGGGCCTTCGGTGGAGCTCCCTATGGGGCCATGAAGCCTGTGAGAGGGTGTGCCTCAGGTGGGTGGCGGGGACGCATGCGAACACCACCAGTGGGGCCTTCGGTGGAGCTCCACTATGGGGTCACGAAGCGTGTAAGGGGTGTGCCGACATTGGTGGCGGGGGCGCATGCGAACACCGCCAGTGGAGCCTTCGGTGGAGCTACCTATGGGGCCACGACGCGTGTGAGGGATGTGCCGAGATGGGAAATGATGATGGGAGGAGGGAGGGGGCAGCGGGAGGAGGAGGGGTGAACGTTGGGTTCGTCTCTTCAAGACGAGGACACAACACCAAAGGAGGAGGATGAGGAGGAGGATGAGAAGGAATAGGAGGGAGGAGGAGGAGGCGGAGGAGGAGGAGGAGGAGGAGGAGGAGGACGAAAAGGATGCCTCTAAGGCTGCCTTGTGGTCTCCTTGGGGCTTTCCAGGGTCCTATTGAGGGCCCCTCTGAGATCCTGAGGGGCCTGTTGGGAGCCTGCTGGCGCTTCTTGGGAGTCTCCTGGGGCCTGTTGGGGGTCTCTGGAGGGCCTCTTGAGGCCTCTTGGGGGCTTTTGGGCGTTTCTGGGGGACCTCTTGACTTTCGGAGGCCGTCTTGGGGGACTCTCTGGGCAGTACGGTCGTCTTGGAGGTCAGTGGGGCCATCCTGGGAGCCTCTTGGGCTGTCTCTGGGCCCTGTGGGACCTCTTGCGGGCCTTTTGCGGGCCCTTTGGAGGCCTGTTGGGTCGTCTTGGGGCGATTTTGGTGGCCTACTCCCAGATAGCTCCTTGAGAGCTGAAGGTCTTTAGAGAAGAAGCTAGTCGGCTTGACTTGGCCAGCTTCGACTCCACGGCTGCCTGGCAGGCATCTCCGCTGCGAGTTGCTGAAACCGGCGCAGCAGCGTGTCCCGCCAGCGCTTTCTTACTCGTTTCCAGGGTGTGTCTGCAAGCGTTTACGCAGTTCCTGCGCAGCGTGGGCTCATGCGCAGCTCCTGGGCAGCTCCTAGGCAGCGCTTCCTAAGCTCGTGGGCGACGCCGAAGCATCTCATAGACAGCGTTTCCCAGGCTCGTGCGCACCTCCTGGGCAGCGCTTCCTAGGCCAGAGGGCAGCGTCTAGACAGCCACGCTCCATGGTAACGCGTCTTGGGCTCGTGCGAGGCTTCCAGGCAGCTCTCAAGCAGTGCTTCCTGGGCTCGCGCGCAGCTTCCAGGCAGC